AGCAGGAGGTGGCGCCCCCGCCCCCACGACCCCGACTTCTCCTCTAGCCGCGGCTCCCCCAGGCCACGTCTGTCATCTTTCAGCAGCCTTCGGTGCACCTGGGAGAGAGTGGCCAGCGGAGGGTGAGAGTCCAGCAGTATCCTTGTCCAAAGTCCCGAAGGACTTGGTGTGAGGACTCTACCGTGGCTGGAGCTCCCCTACTCCCACTCACCATGAGCTCCAGGGAGCCGTCCCGCAGGCTGCTGCCCCCCTGTGAGCAGTCTGTCAGCACCATCAGCTGCTTCTTCCTGTCCTGGGTGAGGGTTGGGGCAGAGTGAGCATGAGGGCAGGGTGGAGAGCCAGCCACAGTCCCAGGCACCACAGAGATGCTGCCAGTGAGGGGCGCTCCCCATTCTGTACCCAGGGAGGCACGGGGTGAGGAAGGGTACCGTGATGTAAATTCGAGTGTTGACTGGTCAGGCTGGGAGACCGGCTCCCTCACTCTGCTCTCTCCCTTCTTCCTCTCCCTCCCACATTCACACCATCAGCCAGTGCCCCCATCCCTGGGCCCCACCAATCACCACTGCCCTGCGGGTGCCCTGCATCCCCGTCACCTCCTCTTCAGGATCTCCCGGCCATTGTTGTCCGTGTAGAAGTAGCCCTTGGTGTCCAGTGGCGTGTCGAAGTGACTGATCACTTCCTTTTCCCACTTGTCACTGTACCCAACGGGACAAAAAGGTCGTGAGCCTCATCTAAACTCACTCTGGGCAGTGGTGTTGGGGGCAGCGGCTAAGACGCCAGTTGGGACGCCACCACCCGTATCACAGTGCCCAGGCCTGAGTCGCAGCTGTGCTCCTGCTTCCTGCCTCTGTTGATGCAGACCCCGAGAGACAGGAAGTGACAGTGACAGCCCTGCCACCCCCACGGGGGACCAGGTTGAATTCCTAGCTCCCAACTTGCACCCAGCCTAGCTCTATTTCTTTGAGACATCTGGGGAAGGGTTCTCTGGGATGAAGGTCTCCGTATGGAGGTGTGACAACTCCCGGGATGGCTGATGATGGAGACAGACTCTCTGTCATGCACCAGACAGCAGAAAGGTGTAAAATATCACTCCTGGAATCAGACCAACATTCCCATGAAGTTATAGCTCCCTGTTCTGCTCCTTAGGTGCAGTTCCCATTTCCCTCCAGGTGCTCTGACCTGTAAGCACCCAGTTTCCCTGTGGGAGCACTGTCTCGGGCAGCAAGAAATTTCCCAGTTGATTATCTGTTCCTAAGAGGCCACCAGGTTTGAAGTCAAGTGCACTTAGTCTGATTATTCTTTCTCTGTGAATTTTCCTTCCTCCCAGAGGTCAAAGCACTCAGCAATTATCTGAGTCAATGTTTTCTCCAGAATACAACAGGACTGTCTTGAAGTGGTCCCTAGAGTCTTCAGACCAAGAGCTTAGCTGAGGATACGGCTGTAGATGTCTCCAGAAAATTGGCTTTTCCTGCTTCAAGAAGAGGAAAACTGTTTCTCTGCTGTAAATCTAGGGGCTCCTCACTTGTTATGAATTAGAAATTTTATTACAAGTTAAGAGTTGTCGGGCCGGCGCAGTGACTCACTTGGTTAATCCTCCACCTGCGGTGCCAGTGTCTCATATGGACGCCGGGTTCTAGGCCTGGTTGCTCCTCTTCCAGTCCAGCTCTCTGCTGTGACCTGGGAAGGCCATGGAGGATGGCCCAAATGCTTGGGCCCCTGCACCCGCAAGGGAGACCAGGAGGAAGCACCTGGCTCCTGGATTCAAATCGGTGTAGTTCCAGCCATAGTGGCCATTTGGGGAGTGAACCAACGGAAAGATCTTTCTCTCTCTCTCACTGTCTAACTCTATCTGTCAAATAAAATAAAAAAAGAGTTGTCATTTCATTTTCAGTATGTTTGCTAATTAAGAGGTACATGTATTAATATTATTTTAACTGGCAATTTATATATATATATTTATTTGTTTAAGATTTTATTTTATTTATTTGAAAAAGTTAGAGAGAGGTAGAGCCAGAGAGAGAGAGAGGTCTTTCATCCACCAGTTCAATCCCCAAATGGCCACAATGGCCAGAGCTGAGCTGATCTGAAGGCAGAAGCCAGGAGCCAGGAGCCAGGAGGTTCTTCCAGATCTCCCACAAAGGTGCAAGGTCACAAGGACTTGGGCCATCTTCTACTGCTTTCCCAGGCCACAGAAAAGAGCTCCATCGAATACAGAGCAGCCAGAACTTGAACTGGCACCCATATGGGATGCCAGCGCTGCAGGCTGGGTCTTTAACCAATTGCACCACTGTGCTGGCCCCCTTAATTCACAATTTTTGGAGGAGTCAGTAACATTTAGGTGCATTTACATATTGCATTATGATCAAATCAGGGTAATTAGCATGCCAATCACCTTAAACACTGATCATTTCTTTGAGTTGGTACCATTCAGAATCTTTGCTTCTATTTTGAGATATCCAGTACATTTTTGTTAACCATGGTCACCTTACTGTATGGTCAGAACCAGAGCTTATTCATTTTGTCCATCAAAAACCTTGTACCCACTGACCAACCACTGTCTGCTCTTCCCTTCCGCTAACCATTGTCCCCTTGTTGACTTCTATGAAATCAACTTTGTAAGATTCTATGAGTGAGTCCTAGTATTTTCCTTCTGTGCATGGCTTATTGCATTTACAACAATGTCCTCCAAGTGCATCCATGAAGTCTGAAATAACAATGTCATTCTTTTTGTGTGAATAGTATTCCATTGTGTGTGTATGTATATCACTTAAAATTTTTATTTATTTATATTTATCTGAAAAGCAGAGAGATACATGCAGAAAAAAGAGGCTTAGTTCCTAAATGCACACTATAGCTGGGCTTGACCTGCCTAAAGCTGGGAGTCCAGAACCCAATCTCTGTCTTCCTTATGGGAAGAAGGACCCCATGCATTCAAGCTTATTCCCTGGTTGTGCATGACCAGTAAGAGAATTGGGAGCAGAGCTGAACATTACACCCAAACTCTGATAATTGACACAGGCATCTCAAGGGGCATGTTAGCCAGTGCACCAAATGCCTGCCTCCTTACATCCCCTCACGTATTCCTCTGTGTTTCCCCTAATCAACATATCCCCAATTCCTTGAGAAAAATTTCTTTCTTCCTCTTGGAGATGTGAATATCCTATAAATTTTTCTCTAAAGGTTCATCATCATATCAGCCATACCAATCTGACTCCTTCTACTTGCAAAGGCACAGCTCAGATCCCACTGTCATCTCAGACTGGTAGACTATATAGTGTTCCAGTGACATGTGGTTCAAGTCACAGTTATCAAGTCTTCGTGCTTGTCCATATTTTTTATGTGTATGGGTGTATGTGTGTCATGTTCACATGTATGTTTAGGTCCCTATGTGTGTTCACATGGTGCCAGATTGATTGGAATAAGTGCACACCCCAAAGTTAAATAGCATCTACCCTCAGACTTTTCACAGTTCCTATGATTTGGGAAAATTTTTAGTGAACAAGACTTGTTTGATACATTCTGTTTAATGATAGAGAGGGGTGTCTTGGATTAGCAGAACATGCATATATTTAACTTTAGGCTTCTTTCATAAATGACGACCTCACATACACATGCTGTTAACATGGTCAACAGGAAAAGAATGTGAGGGGATTTCTAGCTAAGGTTCTTCAAATCTCATACAATTTCCATGAGAAATTCACACACAGTTGTTAAGAACAAATAAACTGTGAGTTTAAGTGGGTGGAAAGCATTAATACATGGAGTCTTCATCTTTTTTTAAGATTTATTTATTTATTTGAAAGGCAGCATCACAGAAAGTCAGAGAGAGAGAGAGAGAGAGTCTTTCATCCGCTGGTTCACTCCCCAGATGGCCACAGAGGCCAGGGCTTTGCCAGCCTGAAACCAGGTGCCAGGAGCTTCTCCCAGGTCTCCCAAAGGGGTGGCAGGGGCTCAAGCACTTGCTGCTTTCCTAGGCAATAATCAAGTGGAGCAACCAGGACTTGAACCTATGCCCATATGGGATGCTGGCACTGCAGATGGTGGCTTTGCCTGCAACAGCATAACGTTGGCCCCATGATTTTCTATTCTTAAATAAAATCTTGTTAATATCTTTTTGACTTTTTTCATTTATACTTTATTTTGTATATTTATTTTCATTTTATTGAAAGGCAGCAAGACACACAGAGGAACATAAAGATAGCTTACATCTCAAATACCCATACTAGCCAGGGCTGTGTCAGCCAAAACCAGAAGGTTTGGACTCAGACTGGATCTCAGACATGGGCATCAGGGACCCAAGTCCTCGAGCCATCATCAGCTGACTTCCTGCATGTTTCAGCAGGAAGCAGGCCTGGAACTGGAACTGGAATTTAAACCTGCGTACTCTGACTTGTTGTGTTGTCATCTGAAGCAGTTGGTTAAGTACCACACCAAACGTCAATCCCAACTTACACATTTAAATGAAACATTTGTTTGTACATAGTTGTAGGTTAACAGGCATTTGTAAGAATGAGTGAGAGAGATGATGCACCCTTCAATTCAGTGTCCTCAATGGTAACAGCTTGAAAAACGCAGTGAAGCATCACACACAGGACATTAACACTAGGACCAACCAAAATACAAAGCATGCACATAAGATGCCATGCATAAGACCCCCAGTGTAGCCTTTGTGCAGCCACAACCACCCTTCTCCTCACCCAGCATCTGCCTCTTAAGAACCACTCATCTGTTCACCATTCGTATACTGATATCATTTCAAAATGATCTATAGACAGTAAACCTGTCTTCCTAAGAAAACCGTGCAGCAGATACCTTAAGGGATTGGTTTCCACATCTGTGGTGGTCACAATGGGCATGAAGCTGAAATAGAACAGGATCTTAAAGGGTGAGTTAAACCTCACTGACAAGTTATAAATCAAATGAACAAGGTAAATTCCACATTATCAGGGAGAGCCTTAAAAGGAGTGGATACACAATAATGATGGGGTAAAAGAGAAAAGCTGTGGCATCAGCTTTTCATGATCTATAAACTAGGTAGGTGAGCTGAGTTGCCATGTGTAGGCTCTCAGTAGGAGTAACACACATGAATTTTTTCCCATAAAACCAAAGAAATGCTACTCAGTACAATGTATATCAGGTAGGAAAAAATTACTCCTAAGACATCCTTACTATTCCATGAGACAAATGGGAATATGAAAATACTTCTAATGCAATGTTCGAGGATAAGAAAACACCTAAGGGAAAACCTGTGGGATACTGAGGACCCCTGATGACTTTCTATGTGAGTTGTTTAAAATGCACAGAGAGGTTGAAATCAATATGATAGAGAGTCCAGCACATAAACAGAGGAGGAAATTCTACTTTCACAATCAGATCTAACAGCAGGAATTTCCAACGCTGAGGCTTTGATCCCTGAAATCCTTGGCTCTTGTTCAGCCCCAAGACAATTGCACATTTATGATTTCTCTCCTAGAGACTTCTTCAGGGCCCTCTTTATGTCTTCATTCTTCAGGCTGTAGATGAAGGGGTTCAGCATGGGGGTGACCACTGTGTACATCACTGAAGCCCTTGCATTTGACTGTGGGTTTTGGGTAATAGGATAACTAAAGTACACAGCGAGTCCTGTGCAATAAAATAAGCAGATAGCAGAGAGGTGAGAGGCACAGGTGGAAAATGCTTTATTCTTCCCCTGAGCAGAGGAGATGGCATGGATGGAGGAGACGATCTTAGAGTAGGAGTAAAGGATCCCTGCCAGTGGACCCCCACCCAACAGCGTAACTGTAAAATACATGACCACATCATTAAGAAACGTGTCAGAGCAGGCACTGTGGATCACCTGATTCAGTTCACAGAAGAAATGGGGGATTTCCAGGGGTGCACAGAAGGACAGCTGCAGCACCAGTAGGCTGTGCAACAAGGCATGCAGGACACTGATGACCCAACACACCAAAACCAGCTGCACACAGAGCTGGGGATTCATGATGACCATGTAGTACAGAGGGTGACAGATGGCCACAAACCTGTCATAGGCCATCACAGCCAGGATAAAGTTGTCCATCTCTGCAAATAGCATGAAGAAGAACATCTGTGTGATGCAGCCTGCGTAGCTGATGGCTTGGCTCTGCGTCTGGATGTTCACCAGCATCTTGGGGATGGTGGTGGAGGTGAAGCAGACGTCCACCAAGGACAGGTTGGAGAGGAAGAAGTACATGGGTGTGTGGAGGTGGGGGTCTGAGAGGATGGCCAGGACGATGAGCAGGTTGCCAGCCACAGTGACCAGGTACATGGAGAGGAAGAGCCCACATATGAAGGGCTGCAGTGCTGGGTCCTCTGAGAATCCCAGGAGAAGGAATTCTGACAGCTGTGTTCCATTGCTTTGTTTCATTTGGTTATGATGACCACCAGCTTAGCAAAAAATAGCAAGACAACATTTAATACGCAGAATCCTTCCTCTTACAAATGTATGCTACAGTCTATATTTAGCAGCCGGAGAATAGATTTCTGTGTTTTGTGCAAGGTTCTGGGTCTGTTTAGAGGACTGCCTCTTAGCATCTGTGAGTAGGGTTTCTACTAGGTTCTGCCATGGTTCCTGTCCCACCTCTTCCCTGAGAGGCAGCAGGTAGTTATCCAATTAGTTGGGTTCCATGCACTTGAAACATGAACCAGCACGTGGGAGATGTCTCTCCTTATGTCTTTCTGTATCTGCCTCTCTCTAAACAGAATGGAAATGAACAATAATAAACAATAAATATCCCCCCTTGTCTGTGGATCTCTCCTCCATTACCACTGTATTTTTCTCCTCCTCTTAATTGGATCCATGTTCTACTTTTAGTGAAACCACTTTCTGCCTCTCAATCCCTGCTCAGGTTTCCACTGCAATCATTTAATTGAAAGCAATGAGTCCTGTGTTGGTTTAAATGTACAATTCTGTTCATTTTCACATCACAGATAAATACAAAAACTAATTAATCAAAAAGGAAACTAACAACGTGATTGTTTTATCTGAAATAGCCTGGGGTAGCCATCAGGTGGCCTCAGGTAAATGTTCTCAGCTTCCATGTTCCCTGATCCTTCTCTGCAGTACTCACCTGGTTGGGTTTTCTGAGGTGAGGGTCTCCACGTGGAGTTGTGATTCCTCCCTGGATGGCTGATGATGGAGACTGAAGCTCAGTCACACACAGACAGCAGAAATAAGTGAATCATTAGTCCCTGAGTCTGATGAAGACTTCAAAAAAATCAGCCTGTCCCTTGCAGCCCAGTATTGCACACTGTGAGGGATGGCAGCAGAGGGTGAACTTACAGCTCCCTGTCTCTGCTCATTAGGCACAACTCCCCCTTGGGGTTCCAACCTCTAAGCACCTGATCTCCCTGTGGAGATGCTGGTCTGAGAAGAATGAAATTGTCCTGCTGTTTCTGTGTCCCCAGGAGGCCAGGTCAGTGGTCAGGTGAACCCAGCTCTCCTGATTCCTTCTCTGTGAACTTTGCTACCTCCCAGCAGCTTCCCTTTGTCAGGTTGAAGTTTGCCCTGGAATCCAAGACAGAACTTACCTTGATGATGCCCCTATAGCTGCTGACATCTCCAGAAAGTTTTTGTTGCCCTCTTTAAAAATAGGGAGAACCGGTCCTTTCTCTTATCTTAAACATTATTAGTTACATCGCATCGTAAGAGCTGTCCTTAGTTAGTCATTATAGAATGTTTGTTAACTAGAAGAGAAACACTTATCTTATTTTAATGGACACACAGGTTAAAGAGTTCAGTGTGACGTTTGGATGCATGTGTACATTGGGCCATGATCAAATAAGGGTAATTTAGAGTATCCATCTCTTTCAACACTTACACTTTCTTTGAGCTGGGAACAAGCAAAATTCCTCTATCTTGGAAATATCCAGTACATTATTATTGTTAACTGTAGTTACATACTGTGCTGTAGATGCCAGAATGCAGTCCTCTCATGTGTTGGAGAGTTTGTACCCACTGACCAACCTCTGCCCATCTTCCCCTCCCACTTGTACTCCCTGGCTTTTGCTAACCACTATTCCACTGTCCCACTTCTGTGAGATCAACTTTGTAAGAGATTACTTATGCCTGACATCATGTAGTATTTTTCTTTCTGTGCTTGGCTAATTTAAATTATTGTAATGTCCACAGGGCTAACCCACGTTGTTCTAAGTGACTGAATTTCATTGTTTTTTGTGGCTGAAAAGGAATTTGTATATGTTCCACATGTAAAGATTATTTATTTGTATTAATTTAAAGGCAGAGACAGAGATGCAGGAAGATAGAGAGAGAGAGAAAGAGAGAGAGGGAGAGAGAGAGAGAGAGAGAGAGAGAGAGAGAGGTTTCCACCCATTACTCTTTCAAATGCCCACAGAAGCTAGGCCTGAGCTAGGCTAAAGACAGAAACTAGAGCCCAATCTTGGTCTCCCATATGGGCAGTAAGGACCAAAGTACTTTAGCCATCAGCTAATGTCTGCTGGAATGTTAGGTAGCAGGAAACGCAGATGCATATCTCAGTCTTGCACTGTAAAGTCTGGACTGTGAGCATCGCAGGAGGCATCCTAGCCTCTGCACCTTGACATCCATTTGTACCATCTGCTATGCTTTCCCCTAATTAGCACTCCCCACCAAGTCCTTGAGAAAATTTTAAATTCTTCTCCCCTTTGAGATGCAATTTTCCTTACATCTGCGTTCTCTAAGGTGCTGTGACCATATCAACCACATCAAATTTGACTCCTTCTACTTGCAAAGTGTCAGCTTGGATCCAACTGTGCTTTCAGACTAGAGAACTGGGTAGTGTCCCACCTGCTGCCTGACTAAAATCACAGCAATAACACCTCTGCATTTGCATTTTTCTGTGTTTTTCTAAAATTCCTCCCAAAGCATGATCCTGGGTGTTGGTAGTTGTTTCCTCCCTCCCTCCCTCCCTTCCTTTCTTCCTTCCTTCCTCTCTCTCTCATTCTTTCTTTTTTTAAAAAAAACATTTTATTTATTTATTTGAGAGGTAGAGTTACAGACAGTGAGAGGAGGAGTCAGAGACAGAGGTCTTCCACCCGCTGGTTCACTTCCCAAATCGTCACAGTGGCTGAAGCTGTGCTGATGTGAAGGCAAGAACTAGGAGCTTCTTCCAGGTCTCCCACATGGGTGCAGGGGCCCAAGCACTTGGGCCATCTTCTACTGCTTTCCTAGGACATAGCAGAGAGCTGGATGGGAAGTGGGACAGCTGGGCAAGAACCAGTGCCCATGTGGGATGCCAGCACTGCAGGTGGCGGCTTTACCCACTACATTGTAGCACCAGTCCAATGTTTTTGTTTTACTTATAAGCAGTGATGTCTCTGGTCATCAGCACACCCATGAACTTTAGGGTTCTTGCATAGATAATGGCCTCACATTCTCACACTGTTAAAATGGTTAGCATGGAAGTATTGTGAGATGGTTTCTAGTCGGGATTTTTTAATGTCTTATAGAATTTCCTTGGGAAATTCAAATATAATTGTTAGGGAGTACACTAGGTGAATGTAAGTGCTTTGAACATTAAAAGTGGACTGTTCATCAACTCAAAACTTTTTCATTACCTAAATATTAAGGTTCTGTGATGTTAAGTACAATATGATGTATTATGAAATAGGAGGGTAATTGTTTTTGAGGAAAAATGAATGATTTCATTCTAAGATATCATGGCTGTTTGTTACAACATGAGAGAGAAGGAAACTTGGACCATATGAATAAAACTTTGGAAAACTGTGGAAGATTTGTGGAGGATGAACTGGTGAAATGTGTGTTCAGGTGTCAAGGAGAGTTGGACCACAGGATATAGTATGATAGCACAAAATTATGCAGGTGAAAGTAGAAAGTGGGAATAGTGAAGGCGCCAGGGCTACTGAACTCAAGGAAATATGTTTTTCATGTTCATAAAATCCCCCATATGCTTGTATACATAGAGAAAAGAACCAAATGATAGCAAAGGTAGTTAAAATTCTAGTTCTTACCTTTTTAGCATGCAATCCATAAAGCAAGAATCAAAATACTATGACTGCATGGTGCAAAAAAAGAATTTGACCCAACAGTGGATAAAGCAAATTATTAATAAAACCACAAATGTATTTATTCAATTATTTCCACAAAGAAATAATTGCAAGGAAAACTTATTAGCATATGCCCTTTTTACCTATTTTTATTTAAAGATTTTATTTATTTGAGAGACAGAGTTACACAGAGAGCGAGCGAGAGAGAGAGGTCTTCCATACCCTGGTTCATTCCCCAGATGGCCACAATGTCTGGAGCTGGGCCGATTTGAAGCCATAAGCCAGGATTTTCTTCTGGGTCTCCCACATGTTTGCAGGGGCCCAAGGACTCAGGCCATCTTCCACTGCTTTCCCAAGCCACAAGCAGAGAGCTGGATTGGAAGAGGAGCAACTGGGATTTGAACCAGTACCCATATGGGATGCTGGTGCCACTTTACCCAGCATACCACAGCACCAGCCTCTTAAATATTTTTGTGGCTATTGTAAATGGGACTGATCTCACAAGTTCTTTCTCAGCCATGACATTATTTGTGTATACAAAAAGTACCTATTTTTTGTATTGATTTTATCCTGCAACTTTACCAAACTCTCTTATGGTTTCCAATATTCTCTTAGTGGAGTCTTTTGGTTCTCTTATATATAGAATCATGTCACCTGCAAACAGGCATAATTTGACTTCATTCTTTCCCATTTGTATTATTTTTATTTCATCTTGTCTAATGGCTCTTGACAAAACTTCCAGAACTATATTGAGCAGTAATGGTGAGAGTGGGCATCCTTGTCTGGTTCTGGATCATGTATGAAAGGTCTAAGATGGTCTCAGTCTTTGCAAGAGGAGACAGGGGTGAGAGTATGGAAATAGAATCCCCAGAGATTGGACCCCAAAGAGACCTTGAACAACTACACAGACCTGAAAATACAAGAATAAGAAAACTGGGCAAGAAATCAAAGTGTCCAGTAAGAGAACAATAGTAATAATGACAATAGTAGTAGACTCAATGCTGAGAAGAGTATGCACAGTTTTTATTAATTTTTAAAGTAGTTATTATCTGAAAGGAAAGAATGAGAGAGAGAGAGAGAGAGAGAGAGAGAGAGAGAGAGATTGATTTTGACTGTTCCTTTCCACTGGCTCACTCCACAGTTGTCAAAAATGGCCGGGGATGTAGCAGCTAAAGACAGGAGCCAAGAACTGAATCCAGTTCTCCCATGTGGGTGGAATGGAGCCCATCTCTAGAACCATATTTGCTGCCTTAAAGAGTGCACAGAGACATCTTGGGGGCGGAGCCAAGATGGCGGAATAGGGAGGGCGCGCACCGATAGTCCGGGAAAATTTAGTTTAATAAAAGGGGAGTTACGGTAGCCGCAGAAAATAGAACCAAACAAAAATTGCAGGGGAAACCCTTCTGAATGGAACAGGCGTGAATCGGACGACCTACTGGGAGAACAAGGTCGCCCACCGCACGGAAGCAAAGTCGCGGGACCCAGCCGCAGAAGCCCCAGGGTCTGCGCGACAGTGCTCCAAGGAGAGTGCACGCCACACAGAAAACAGCGGGGAGACTTGAGACGCTCAGGGCTCCGAGTCCACACATCGGCGCTGGAAGGGGAGGTGAGCTCAATAACCCGAGACATTGGTGGGGAAACGGGGGTCAGAATCTAGAGGGGGGCCGGAAAGTGCAGCAAACTCACTACCGGAAAGAAGGAAAAAAAAAAGCTTCGGGGTTTCTCTTCCCCCTAACCTTGCAAAGGTTACAAGGCTGCAAGACTTGAAGAATTCCCAAGAGACAAAGAGCAGGCCTCCTCTTTGGATTTACATATCAGTGGGGGAGAGTTAAGGAACTGAGTCACTACAATTCAGTAGCCTAGGCAACCCAGTGGGAGTCCAGAGGAGCCAAAGACTGGAAGCTAAATACCATCAATTCTGCACAGCCCTGCCCTGCAGTGTTACTTACCCCCTGAATAAATAAAATAAATAAATAAATAAAAAGAGAGAGATTTACCACGCATAACCTGAGGGTGTCACCTTTGCACACCCTTAACCAGGAAGAACCAGGCAGAGCTCTCAGGCCGCACCCATCTCAAGCCTCCAAGGCTCCTCCAACAGCAGGCAGTCCACTTAACACGGACACAGTATAAAAAAAAAAAAAAGAAAAAAAAAGCACACAGTGACGCAAGAAGAATTAACTATGCCGAGTAACAAACACAGAAATAGAGGGAGCAAGATCAACGATGACACTATGATGCCTCCAAATAAGCAAAACACCCCAAGCCAAGAGTATGAAGATGATGAGATAGAAGAAATGCAAGATACGGATTTCAAAAAATTTATGATAAGAACATTTAGAAGTTTTCAAAAGCAAATCCTTGAACTACAGAAATCCTTAATGGACAAGATTGAAAATCTTTCTCGTGAAAATGAAATTTTAAGGAAGAGTCAAAATGAAACTCAGAAACTAGTAGAACAGGAAAGTGTAATAGTCAAGAGAAATCAAAATGAAATGAAGAGCTCAATAGATCAAATGACAAACACATTAGAAAGCCTTAAAAACAGAATGGGTGAAGCAGAAGAGAGAATATCGGACTTAGAAGATAGAGCACAGGAAAACATACAGTCAAACCAAAGAAAAGAAGAGGAAATTAGAAACCTGAAAAATATTGTTGGGAATCTACAGGATACTATTAAAAAAACCAACATTCGAGTTCTAGGAGTTCCTGAAGGCATGGAGAGAGAGAAAGGATTGGAAGGCCTTTTTAGTGAGATACTAGCAGAGAACTTTCCAGGTTTGGAGAAGGACAGAGATATCCTAGTACAGGAAGCTCATAGAACCCCCAATAAACATGACCAAAAGAGATCCTCACCACGACACGTGGTAATTAAACTTACCACAGTGAAACATAAAGAAAAGATCCTAAAATGTGCAAGAGAGAAACGTCAGATTACTCTCAGAGGATCTCCAATCAGACTCACAGCTGACTTCTCATCAGAAACCCTACAAGCTAGGAGGGAATGGCGAGACATAGCACAGGTGCTAAGAGAGAAAAATTGCCAGCCCAGAATATTATATCCTGCCAAGCTCTCATTTGTGAATGAAGGTGAAATAAAGACCTTTCATAGCAAACAGAAATTGAAAGACTTTGTGGCCACTCGTCCGGCCCTGCAAAAGATACTTAAAGATGTGCTACACTCAGAAACACAGAAACACGGCCATCAATATGAAAGAAGGGAAAGGAAGAACACCTATCAGTAAAAGAGCATGGGAAGCTCAAAGCATATACTAGAAAATATCTCCGGGAAAATGGCAGGGCAAAGTCACTACGTATCAATTGTCACATTGAACATTAATGGTCTGAATTCTTCAGTTAAAAGACACCGTTTAGCTGACTTGCTCACAGAACACAACCCAACTATTTGTTGCCTACAAGAAACACATCTCTCTAACAAAGAGGCATGCAGACTGAAAGTGAAAGGTTGGAAAAAGATATTCCATGCCAACAGAAACCAAAAAAAAGCAGGTGTAGCCATATTAATATCAGACAAAATAAACTTTAATACAAAAACTGTTAAGAGAGACAAAGAGGGACACTATATAATGATTAAGGGTTCAATTCAACAGGAAGATGTAACTATTATAAATGTATATGCACCTAATTACAGGGCACCGGTCTATTTAAAAGATATGTTAAGGGACTTAAAGGGAGATTTAGATTCCAATACAATAGTACTGGGGGACTTCAATACTCCACTCTCAGAAATAGACAGATCATCCGGACAGAAGATCAACAAGGAAACAGCAGATTTAATTGACACTATTGCCCAAATGGATCTAACAGATATCTACAGAACTTTCAACCCTACATCTACAGAC